AAACTAAATGACACAGACAGATATCATTTTATTTAATATGTAATAGGTACAATAATTTAAGATTGAAATATTTCAAACCTTTTTATTGACGTAAACCATTTATTCATGTAAGTACATTTGGGCAACTATTATGTGTGGACAATTTTAAAATTCTTCGTAAGTTACACTTTAGGCAGATATATACTTTTGACGCTAACAAAAGATAGAGTTAAGAGTAAATACTAATTCTTGTTTAACTAGCTATGATCATGCATAGTTTACTGTTATGTATAATTCGTGAATGATCAACACGCTTGTTTCGTAGTATTACTACATAACAGCACAATAACTCTAAATTACCTTGGTAATAAACATTGTAACGTCGCTGTTTGACGACGACACAGTTGTTATTATGTTGTTTACGTTAATGTTGGTGATGATGGTGGCGATGGTGATGATGATGCAACTCTCAGGTGTGTTTAGTGTATTTGTATTACTACTTTATGAATAGCATTGTATGTATTTACTATTTAATTTTTGAAACGTACATTTTTGTATTCAACTAATAAGCTGTATATCTTACGGAATAAACTAAACTTGAGACTTGAGACTTGAGACAGAAGTGCAAGATCCGGAACAAGTATATATACATCCAGTGTGAATAAACAAAAGGTTATGTTAATATAGGTTAAGGTTGTACACATGCCTTACAAACCGCGGAGGTCAATTAACGGTTTACAACTCTGGTCTAAATTAAACATATATATTATTGTATGTTGTTTAAATATCGGGGCCGGGTCAATGCCTTGAATTTCTGGTAAAGATATAGTTCAATGTATATAACGACAGGCAGATAAAACTTGCGTCATACAGCAGGCGGGGGTGAGTGCATGGTGTACATTTTTTGGTCTAAAAATAGACTTCGTAAAGTACGTAGGTCACAGATATTTCAGCACGTATACTTACATGTAAACGTCCTACATGTCTACACATCCCAGCACGTATTATCACACGTACCCGTCCTACATGTCTACACATCCTAGCACGTACTATCACACGTACCCGTCCCACATGTCTACACATCCCAGCACGTATTATCACATATACCCGTCCCACATGTCTACACATCCCAACACGTACTATCACACGTACCCGTCCTACATGTCTACACGTCCCAGCACGTATAATTACACTTACCCGTCCCACATGTCTACACATCCAGCACGTACCATCACACGTACCCGTCCTAAATGTCTACACATCCCAGCACGTACTATCACACGTACCCGTCCCACATGTCTACACATTCCAGCACGTATTATCACATATACCCGTCCCACGTGTCTACACATCCCAACACGTACTATCACACGTACCCGTCCTACATGTCTACACATCCTAGCACGTACTATCACACGTACCCGTCCCACATGTCTACACATCCCAGCACGTACTATCACACGTACCCGTCCCACATGTCTAGAAAATCCCAGCACGTACTATCACACGTACCCGTCCTACATGTTTACACATCCCAGCACGTACTATCACACGTACCCGTCCCACATGTCTACACACCCCAGCACGTATAATTACACGTACCCGTCCCACATGTCTCCACATCCCAGCACGTACTATCACACGTACCCGTCTCACATGTCTACACATCCCAGGACGTACTATCACACGTACCCGTCCTGCATGTCTACACATCCCAGCACTTATAATTACACGTACCCGTCCTACATGTCTACACGTCCAAGCACGTATAATTACACGTTCCCGTCCTACATGTCTACACGTCCCAGCACGCATAATTACACGTACCCGTCCTGTATGTCTACACATCCCAGCACGTATAATTACACGTACCCGTCCTACATGTCTGCACGTCCCAGCACGTATAATCACACGTACCCGTCCTACATGTCTATACATTCCAGCACGTACTATCACACGTACCCGTCCCATATGTCTACACATCCCAGCACGTACTATCACACGAACCCGTCCCACATGTCTACACGTCCCAGCACGTACTATCACACGAACCGGTCCCACATGTCTACACATCCCAGCACGTACTATCACACGAACCCGTCCTACATGTCTACACATCCCAACACGTTCTATCACACGTACCCGTCCCACATGTCTACACGTCCCAGCACGTACTATCACACGAACCCGTCCCACATGTCTACACATCCCAGCACGTACTATCATATAAACCCGTCCCACATGTCTACATGTCCCAGCACGTACTATCACACGAACCCGTCCTACATGTCTACACATCCCAGCACGTATAATTACACGAACCCGTCCAACATGTCTACACATCCCAGCACGTATAATTACACAAACCCGTCCAACATGTCTACACATCCCAGCACGCATAATTACACGTACCCGTCCTACATGTCTACACGCCCCAGCACGTATAATTACACGAACCCGTCCCACATGTCTACACATCCCAGCACGTATAATTACACGAACCCGTCCAACATGTCTACACATCCCAGCACGTACTATCACACGTACCCAACCTACATGTCTACACATTCCAGCACGTACTATCACACGTACCCGTCTTACATGTCTACACATCCCAGCACGTACTATCACACGTACCCGTCCTACATGTCTACACATCCCAGCACGTACTATCACACGTACCCAACCTACATGTCTACACATTCCAGCACGTACTATCACAGGTACCCGTCCTACATATCTACACATTCCAGCACGTACTATCACACGTACCCGTCTTACATGTCTACACACCCCAGCACGTACTATCACACGTACCCGTCCTACATGTCTACACATTCCAGCACGTACTTTCATACGTACCCGTCCTACATGTCTACACATCCCAACACGCACTATCACACGTACCCGTCCTACATGTCTACACGTCCCAGCACGTATAATTACACGAACCCGTCCAACATGTCTACACATCCCAGCACGTACTATCACACGTAACCGTCCTACATGTCTACACATCCCAGCACGTACTATCACACGAACCCGTCCTACATGTCTACACATCCCAGCACGTACTATCACACGTACCCGTCCTACATGTCTACACATCCCAACACGTACTATCACACGTACCCGTCCTACATATCTACACATCCCAACACGTACTATCACACGTACCTGTCCTACATGTCTACACATTCCAGCACGTACTATCACACGAACCCGTCCTACATATCTACACATTCCAGCACGTACTATCACACGTACCCGTCCTACATGTCTACACGTCCCAGCACGTATACCTCTATTCACAGACGATAACTCTATATATCTACACATTATCAAGGACCTTCAGCGCAAACCTCGGTTCTTAACCCAAATTGTACTTCTTCGGGTAGATTCTGTTTGGTCATATTATCTATGCATAGGGAAAGAGAGTTCACATGCGTTTTATTAAAACGTGTCAATGAATGTTTCATTACGTAAACAAAACCAAATGATCGGTTAATTTTTGTTTGTGTATGAAATAACATAAAATATAAGTACATGTATACGATATGCAATAAATCATCTCTTTTGATATTACCGATGCAATTTTCTATTTAAGAATCCCCATACCGCTACCGAACATGTAACTACGCATTCGATTTTTTGTTCAGGCATGACTATACATGTAGCGGTGATAAACCATTTCCGGGACTATTAACAAAATACAAGTCCTGAGTGTAAAAATTCAGCAGAGCCAGACCGCGGCGATTCGAACCCTGGATTTAGTTTGATACACCATCGCACTCACCGATTGAGCTATCTGGTCAACAGGAGCGTCTTGGTGCAACTGTGCTACAGTTTTATCCAAACGGAAGTTAAGGAGAGGTTGTGGTTCAACTGTGCTAAACGTACGAAAAACCACAGTGCAATGGGACAATTATCCTTGAGCAATTTTCTTTTTTCTATCTTACAAAAACCCGTTATTGACAGTAACTAGCATTCTTGTGTGTAAAACCTGACAAGTCAAAACAGGAAACATCACTTCTGTTAGATTTACTGCCCACAATTTGGTTTATGGTTTAAGTACATGTAAATATTAACACACTTATTATGGTTCTCGATAGATTAGGTCGAGATCTATCATGTTTTCTCGACTATTTACTCCTTCCAATTGACCTACCCCTAAAGTCATCCGTCATGTTAAAGTTTATAACACCTCCTGTTGTTGATTATGTAACATATTAGACTCCAGCATCACAAATCCTTGATCGGGTGGCGCAGTGGATAGCGCACTTGCCTTTCAACAAAGGCGACCGGAGTTCGTTTGCCTGATCGGACGTGAACAGTTATGGCGCCACCTAACCGACCACGTGAGTAAATTCGAATTCTCCGGGTACTCCGGTTTCCTTCCACATTAATATTCCAGCGCTAGTGATTGATATAAGATGAAATAGCTTTTTTCTTAATTATGTTATAATCGTTACACCCAAGGCTTGGGCTATCCTACTGTCTACAATCACTCATAACTTAACCCCCACGGCTTGGGCTATCCTTCTGCCTACAATCACCCATAACTTAACACCCACGGCTTCGGCTACCCTGCTGTCTACAATCACTCATAACTTACCCCCCACGGCTTCGGCTATCCTGCTGTCTACAATCCCGCATAACTTAACACCCACGGCTTGGGCTATCCTGCTGTCTACAATCACGCATAACTTAACACCCACGGCTTGGACTATCCTTCTGTCAAAAATCACTCATAACTTTACACCCACGCTTGGGCTATCTTGCTGTATACAATCACTCATAACTTAACACCCACGGCTTGGGCTATCCTGCTGTCTACAATCACTCATAACTTAACACCCACGGCTTGGGCTATCCTGCTGTCTACAATCACTCATAACGTTACACCCACGGCTTGGGCTATCCTGCTGTCTACAATCACTCATAACGTTACACCCACGGCTCGGGCTATCCTACTGTCTACAATCACTCATAACGTTTCACCCACGGCTTGGGCTATCCTGCTATCTACAATCACTCATAACGTTACACCCACGGCTTGGGCTATCCTGCTGTCTACAATCACTCATAACGTTACACCCACGGCTTGGGCTATCCTGCTGTCTACAATCACTCATAACGTTACACCCACGGCTTGGGCTATCCTGCTGTCTACAATCACTCATAACGTTACACCCACGGCTTGGGCTATCCTGCTGTCTACAATCACTCATAACGTTACACCCACGGCTTGGGCTATCCTGCTGTCTACAATCACTCATAACGTTACACCCACGGCTTGGGCTATCCTGCTGTCTACAATCACTCATAACGTTACACCCACGGCTTGGGCTATCCTGCTGTCTACAATCACTCATAACGTTACACCCACGGCTTGGGCTATCCTGCTGTCTACAATCACTCATAACGTTACACCCACGGCTTGGGCTATCCTGCTGTCTACAATCACTCATAACGTTACACCCACGGCTTGGGCTATCCTGCTGTCTACAATCACTCATAACGTTACACCCACGGCTTGGGCTATCCTGCTGTCTACAATCACTCATAACGTTACACCCACGGCTTGGGCTATCCTGCTGTCTACAATCACTCATAACGTTACACCCACGGCTTGGGCTATCCTGCTGTCTACAATCACTCATAACGTTACACCCACGGCTTGGGCTATCCTGCTGTCTACAATCACTCATAACGTTACACCCACGGCTTGGGCTATCCTGCTGTCTACAATCACTCATAACGTTACACCCACGGCTTGGGCTATCCTGCTGTCTACAATCACTCATAACGTTACACCCACGGCTTGGGCTATCCTGCTGTCTACAATCACTCATAACGTTACACCCACGGCTTGGGCTATCCTGCTGTCTACAATCACTCATAACGTTACACCCACGGCTTGGGCTATCCTGCTGTCTACAATCACTCATAACGTTACACCCACGGCTTGGGCTATCCTGCTGTCTACAATCACTCATAACGTTACACCCACGGCTTGGGCTATCCTGCTGTCTACAATCACTCATAACGTTACACCCACGGCTTGGGCTATCCTGCTGTCTACAATCACTCATAACGTTACACCCACGGCTTGGGCTATCCTGCTGTCTACAATCACTCATAACGTTACACCCACGGCTTGGGCTATCCTGCTGTCTACAATCACTCATAACGTTACACCCACGGCTTGGGCTATCCTGCTGTCTACAATCACTCATAACGTTACACCCACGGCTTGGGCTATCCTGCTGTCTACAATCACTCATAACGTTACACCCACGGCTTGGGCTATCCTGCTGTCTACAATCACTCATAACGTTACACCCACGGCTTGGGCTATCCTGCTGTCTACAATCACTCATAACGTTACACCCACGGCTTGGGCTATCCTGCTGTCTACAATCACTCATAACGTTACACCCACGGCTTGGGCTATCCTGCTGTCTACAATCACTCATAACGTTACACCCACGGCTTGGGCTATCCTGCTGTCTACAATCACTCATAACGTTACACCCACGGCTTGGGCTATCCTGCTGTCTACAATCACTCATAACGTTACACCCACGGCTTGGGCTATCCTGCTGTCTACAATCACTCATAACGTTACACCCACGGCTTGGGCTATCCTGCTGTCTACAATCACTCATAACGTTACACCCACGGCTTGGGCTATCCTGCTGTCTACAATCACTCATAACGTTACACCCACGGCTTGGGCTATCCTGCTGTCTACAATCACTCATAACGTTACACCCACGGCTTGGGCTATCCTGCTGTCTACAATCACTCATAACGTTACACCCACGGCTTGGGCTATCCTGCTGTCTACAATCACTCATAACGTTACACCCACGGCTTGGGCTATCCTGCTATCTACAATCACTCATAACTTAACACCCACGGCTTGGCCTATCCTACTGTCTACATTCATTCATAACGTTACACCCACGGCTTGGGCTATCCTGCTATCTACAATCACTCATAACGTTACACCCACGGCTTGGGCTATCCTGCAGTCTACAATCATTCATAATGTTACACCCACGGCTTGGGCTATCCTGCTATCTACAATCACTCATAACGTTACACCCACGGCTTGGGCTATCCTGCTGTCTACAATCACTCATAACGTTACAACCACGGCTTGGTCTATCCTGCTGTCTACAATCACTTATAACTTAACACCCAGCGCTTGGGCTATCCTGCTATCTACAATCACTCATAATGTTACACAAACGGCTTGGGCTATCCTGCTGTCTACAATCACTCATAACGTTACACCCACGGCTTGGGCTATCCTACTGTCTACAATCACTCATAACTTAACACCCACGACTTGGGCTATCCTACTGTCTACATTAATCACTCATAACTAAACAACCACCGCTTGGGCTATCCTGCTGTCTACAATCACTCATAACTTAACACACATGGCTTGGGCTATCCTGCTATCTACAATCACTCATAACTTAACACCCACGGCTTGGACTATCCTTCCGTCTACAATCACTCATAACTTAACAACAACGGCTTGGACTATCCTTCCGTCTACAATCACTCATAACGCTACACCCACCGCTTGGGCTATCCCGCTGTTTACAATCACTCATAACTTTACACTCACGGCTTGGGCTATCCTGCTGTCTACAATCACTGATAACTTAACACCCACGGCTTGGGCTATCCTGCTATCTACAAGCACTCATAACTTTACACCCACGGCTTTGGCTATCCTGCTGTCTACAATCACTCATAACTTTACACTCACGGCTTGGGCTATCTTGCTGTCTACAATCACTCATAACTTAACACCTACGGCTTGGGCTATCCCGCTGTCTACAATCACTCATAACTTTACACTCACGGCTTTGGCTATCCTGCTGTCTACAATCACTCATAACGTTACCCCCACGGCTTGGGCTATCCTGCTGTCTACAATCGCTCATAACGTTACACCCACAGCTTGGGCTATCTTGCTGTCTACAATCACTCATAACGTTACACCCACGGCTTTGGCTATCCTACTGTCTACAATCACTCATAACGTTACACCCACGGCTTGGGCTCTCCTACTGTATGCAATCACTCATAACGTTACACCCACGGCTTGGACTATCCTGCTGTCTACAATCACTCATAACGTTACCCCCACGGCGTGGGCTATCTTGCTGTATACAATCACTCATAACGTTACACCCACGGCTTGGACTATCCTGCTGTCTACAATCACTCATAACGTTACCCCCACGGCGTGGGCTATCTTGCTGTATACAATCACCCATAACGTTACACCCACGGCTTGGGCTATCCTCCTGTCTACAATCACTCATAACGTTACACCCACGGCGTGGGCTATCTTGCTGTATACAATCACCCATAACGTTACACCCACGGCTTGGGCTATCCTACCCTCTACAATCACTCATAACGTTACACCCACGGCTTTGGCTATCCTGCTGTCTACAATCACTCATAACGTTACCCCCACGGCGTGGGCTATCTTGCTGTATACAATCACTCATAACGTTACACCCACGGCTTGGACTATCCTGCTGTCTACAATCACTCATAACGTTACACCCACGGCTTGGGCTATCCTACTGTCTACAATCACTCATAACGTTACACCAACGGCTTGGGCTATCCTGCTATCTACAAGCACTCATAACTTTACACCCACGGCTTGGGCTATCCTGCTGTCTACAATCACTAATAACTTAACACCCACGGCTTGGGCTACACTCGATGGTTTATTTTTACGCTAGAATGTACCAGTATGAATTACAGACACAAGGTTACTGCCAGACTCGAAGATTTCGACCTGCGATGCGAACAATAGAAAAACAAAGCAAGGAAGCACATAATATAAAATGTAAACAAAAATATATGTAAGTAGATGTTCATTGTTCTCGCATGTATTAAGCCATTGTGAAAATCACCAGAAAAACAGCATTGTCATTACACATACATATGTACAAGACCTATTGCTAAGCCATCGTTGGTTTTTCTCCGGGGACTCCGGTTTTCCTCCTCCACCTAAACCTGGCACGTCCTTCAAAAACACAAACAAACAAACAAACAAACAAGCCATCTGATGATACATGTCTAACTTATTTAAAAGTTACTGGAAGGGACATGGCTCAAGAGCTTATTTGTGTGCATATGTTTCCTGGTTGAAGCAGTTCAATGCATCTAAATGATATAGTGTTTAGAAATTAAACTAAACCTATGTCATTTTATTTGCTCGCTTTAGAAATAATATTTATAAAAAATAAGTGTTCGAGAATGAAATGTTCTATAATCACATTTGTATTCTAAAAAAAGAAATTGCTTTACCACTCTAGATCTGACTAACTTTGTTAAGCCGGAAGTAAATTCGGTCAACATATGAATACCTTTAGTTGCTATACCACGTGATCAGTGGTTGTATTACCAATATATGTAAAACCATCTGTTAGTACATGTATCTTAACTACATGTGTAGTTTCCATTCTAGTGTCATGTTTATAAATACACCTAGAAAAGTTACGCTTGGAATGTTAAAAAATATTTCATTCCGACAGGTTTTTCATTAAAGTAGGAGGACATATTTGAACGACATTGTATATGTAACAATGAGCTTTATTTTTGGCGTTACTGACTTTTCTGGAGGAAGTATTTAGCTGTGAGAAAATTAACGATCTGAGAAGAAGTCATGCATACATGATAGCTATTGGTTTGCTAAGACATTCAAATCTTTTTCCATATATTTTGTAAATTATGTATAACACTTGTGCCCTTTGATCGATTTTGACTGTTAATTTATTTCCAAATAACATACTTTATCCTAAAGAGTGCATTTAAAATTTAGTGATTTTTTTATAACATGAAATATTTCGTTCACTTTATCTAATAAATGTTTAATTTCTACTGTTTCTAAATGTGTTGATGCCTATTTTAGCATCCAGTGATTCGGGGAGTAATTATGTAGGGTTTTGCGTCTTCAAAATAGCTATGGTCGTATGAACAAAGTGACCATAGGTAACTTGGTCACTCAAAAGAAACGTTCAAGTACTTGAACCCTGGACACGGTAGCATGACACTCGACCAAGTCCCATTGTACTGACATGGAAAATGGTCCAACGTGTATCAGTGGAGACAGCAGATCGTTTCTCCTAGCAAAAGACACAGATTAAAATCTTGATTCTGCAGGTAGACCCCGATTCCTCTCCTTACACTGCCTAGTAGTGTGAGACCACTGTTTATATATATTGTGCGTCTGTTATTTGCCACCAAAGGATTCAACCAGACCAGTGGATGTAACAGCATTTTTTTTTTCAAAATTGTTAAATAATGTATACATACATGTATATCAAAATGTAGGGAAAATAAATATAGTTGCTGATTTTAATGCAAGGTCTGTCGGATTACATTGTTGGTGTAAACGATATTGGAGAAAGATAAGTCATCGATACTACAATAATGTACAATTAATGACTTCGGTTATCATTTTCGACTTTCTATCCGATTCCGGGTTCTGTACGGTGAATGAAAGGAAAGGGACACAGGATTTTACATGTGTTTCTACTCGGGGGAGGTCGGTGGTGGACTAGGTTATCGTTCCTAATGAACAACTCCATGTAAACAAAGATTTTAAAGTACATTCGATGTCAAATATTTGTGAAACATTACACATGGAAGGTGATATAGTAGTCCTGATCACTCATTATATAAATTGTGTATTGTTTGCCATGTAACACCGAAATAGATGATGTTGGGGTTAGTCAGGACCCCGTATACCGTCAAAACACACGTAATTTACCAGACGAGTTTTAAATGATGATGATGATGCAATGAGGGAAATTGTCTACCGTCGATTCAATTGAGTTTGAACTCCAAAATATCCATAACGTTAATAATGCATATGATCATTTCCTTTCTCTAATTAGGGATGAAATGGATAAAAAAACACCACCGAAAGACCAAGGGAATAATCAGTTGAGGTCTAAGCTTACTTTTTCTAGGCGTAAACCTTACTGGACGAGTGAATTAACTGTTTTATGAGCCACCGGTGCTAAAAGTGAGAAGAAATGGCTACGTTTAAGAGGTCATTCTAGTGAAAGAGGTCAGTTGAGAGAACAATTTATACAAGACCGTAAACATTTTGATGTTGTCTTGCGTAAGGAGAAGAGAAAATACCAAGCGACGAAGAATGAAGAACTTTGGAATATGTATGATACATGTAACTCTCACCGGGATTATTGGAGAAAAATAGGTAAATTTGGAATATATAATGAACGCAAGAATAATATACCTGCAGAGGTCATAAATTCTGATGGTCATTTGATTACAGATCCAAATGAGGTTTTATCGGTATGGCATGATATATGTAGTGATCTATACAATGTGCAGGATAATAATGATGAAGTTAATTACACTTAACTTATTTTAAAACTGTTTGGGTCCGCCGTCAAATGTGGACAGTAATGAACTTAATTTATCTATTACAAGGAAGGAGGTAGAAGATGGCTCCTTCTCTAACCTATCTCCCTCCTCTATCCCTTCACTCCATACTATATCCCTTCTACTCAGTTTCCTGTATTTTCTTCGTCTGCTGGATAACCTAACTACTCGGTAGTAAAGCGGACGTAAAACCTATCAATCAATCAATCAATCAATCAGGTAGAAGATGCTGTCTTTCGAGCAAAACTTAATAAAGCAGCGGGTATAGATGCTATTCAGAGTTCAGTATAACGTAACCCTTTAATTTGATATCTTATCAAGTTGTTTTGTTAATGGCAAAGTCCCAGATATTTGGGGACATAATATTATAAACACTATACTGAAAGTAGGTAAGGTT